ATATATATATATATATATATACTGAGAAAGCAAAGGCAGCAGACATAGTTTAGATTAGAAACTTCATTTATAGCACACCCATTTAAATATCAGCATATTATATTAAAAAATCTTAGGACAATTAAAAAAAACATGTTTGATTAGAAAAAAAATACTTATGAACAAAAACAAGCAAACTGAAAAAATTTGTAGGGGAATGGATAAGTTACCATAAGAGAAGGAGTGATGGTATCAGCAAGAATCTAGAACTGAATAGGCTGCATTTTAGACCCACTGTACCTTTTGGATGGTCTTTGTAAACAGTCTTATGTCAAGTGCCTGAATAAATTATTTATATTGTAATAGAACCAATAGATCCACTGATTCTAGACAGTAGGACAAGAAGTAGATTAACAATAAATACTTGAAAAATCAGAAAAAAATGAATTTCATTAATTAGCTGTGGTCTAAATTCAAGGATATATGATATGTGGTTCTTCACTCAAATTAAAGGCTGGTATCTAATTATGGATAAATTAATCTGGATTGCCAAACCACCGGTGTTACCAAGCCATATACACTATTCAGCAGTATGGGAACTTCATAAAAATATTATATATGTTCAAGGCAGTTTAAGATATTCAGTTTCAACACTTAGGATTTCTAATGAACTTTCGTATTTATATATAGTTGTTGTTTCCTTCAAAGGATATGAGCAACCTGTATGGTGCTCAGACTTTCTTCTTATGTCTAGAAGATAAGAGTGGACATTCATTTGGAGTGTTTCTTATGAACAGTAATGCCATGGGTAAGGAAATTATTTATGATTTTGATAAAAATCACCTGGCTTTCTTAAATAATTTTCTACATGTGTATGATAAATGCACAAGATAATCAGCAGGTATGTTTTATACTACACATTTTATATTACATATTTTTTATCTAATACATTTATTCTGAGCAAGTTGTATTTTAATAATACTGTTCGAACTAATAATAGTGAGAATCTAATTGTGAAACAGTGTGATCCTATCTATTCAAAATTAAGTCCTTAATCTTGGTGAGGCAATGGCATGGTAGGTTAGCAGATATAACATTACTGCTTCTCCTTCCCAAATCACACAGACAGTTCTATTTGTAAGCATTATACCAAGGCAGTGTAAATATTTTTGAAGAATCTCATATTGTTTCTATGTTATTTTTCTTCCAGATGTGCTTCTATGCAGCTCCACTGAAAACTGTCATTACAGTTTTAGATAATATTCTGGTATTTTGTATAGATATTAAAAGTCAATTGACCTATGTCTATATGGTTAAATTGGAATCTTCAGCATAATTTCCATCTTTTAATCACTCAGTCTCCATAAACATTGGTGGTCCCTCATTCAATCTTTATGAGATTCTCAAGGAACAATTAAGAATAGTACATATTTTGTTAGACCATTAAAAGGATATTGGGATTTTTTTTACAGTTGAGAATTCTAACAGTAAACTGAAATATGCAAAACTTTGAAAGGTACATGCTAGTCCTCGGAAGATTCCTATTCATTCATATATTAAATTTACACAATAATTTAGGAGTAAAAATTAAAACAATATTCTTGTGTTTAAATCTCAATTAATTTTAAGAATTTCTCCTAACAGATTTTGCTCTTCAGCCTGCTCCTGCTGTAACATATAGAACAATTGGTGGAATTTTAGATTTCTATGTCTTCTTAGGAAATACTCCAGAACAAGTAGTACAAGAATATCTATTGGTATGTTTTTTTCTATCATGTTTTTACTTGGTGCTAATAGAGTAGAGCTCTATATGTTATTGTCTATACTGAAAGAGAAGATATGCTTTTCTTGAGAAGCTATTCTAGATTAGGAGCACTATAAGTGAAAATGCTATCTGTATAGTCCTTTCTATTCTGTTTCTATCCAGTAGTAAGAGATGCAAAGAAAAACCTCAGAAGAAAAGTGAAATTGTCAGATCAGTTTATATTAAAGGATTTATAAAATATTTTGTCTACAGTCATAATGTACAGGTCACTTCAACTAAAGTAACTAGAATCAAAGTTAGTAACAATACCATAGTTAGTTGCTAGGACTAGTATTAGATAATCTGACATAGATATAACCATAACCGCCTGGAATTTAATCATAAAAATCCAGCTAAGATTAAAGAGCTTTGCATAGCATGTTATGGTCACCCTTTATTGAACTAACAACAGAAAATATTGATAGACATTTTTTTAGAAAAGACATATCAGATACACAAGAGAAATGACAAAAGACATCTCTGGTTGTCTCTGCCATATGAATATCTCTCTGAATTAGATCAAATCCTACATCTCATCTCAGCCAACCTCTCTTACTAGGATCAAAATCCTAACTAGTAATTTCAGGGCATTATCTGGAGGAAGATTTCTGTTGCTATTGTTGCTGCTGTTCAATCTCATGCAGCCCCAAAGTACTACCAAACATTGATATTGACTCCTGTATCGCTCGGTTTAGACAATGGAAATACAGTAAAACAAAAATCTAAATTTCTTCTTCATTCTGGCAGCAGCTTAAAATTGCATTACCCTTTTCATAGATAACTAAGTCAATATGAATATGTCTTGTCCAGTAGCATGATGGTACAGAGATTTCAGTAGTCTTCCTCTGTAATTACATTTCAAGAAAATATCCTTCTCTATAAACAATAGAATGCAAATGCAAAAGGATTTGCTAGCCTCTTAAATTTGGTTTGGTATTTTACTTCTAAAGTTGATAGGACTTCCACTGATGCCTTCCTATTGGAGTCTCGGCTTCCATATCTGTCGATGGAATTACACAGATCTTAATGATGTGAAAGATGTAGTAGAAAGGAATCGAGCAGCTGGAATACCTTGTGTAAGTAAAAATGTAAGAGTGGAGAAGGAGTAGAGTAACTGTGTGAGAATTGGGTGATTACATACATCTGTTTAATTAACAAATCAGTACATTATTGGTTGGGGGGGAAATCAGTTATTTTGAAGACTCATATTCCATTTGCTGTACTATTGTGATCAGTAGAAAGATACAATTCTTGAAGAATTTGTAATGTTGAAGGTAGAATTTGATGTCTAGTTTCCCTTGAAGCATAACCATGGGAAGCAAATCTATGCTCATTTAATAAATTCAATTTTGGCCAAATTAAGGTCCCTTTCCATGTGTCTAGGGCTTTTGCTATTTTTATTATGAGATCTCATATTCTTACAATATGCATAAACCATTGGTAATCTTTTTCTTTGTTATTATGATGGAAGAAGAAATTATGAATTATATGGGAATTGTTAATGTCATTGTTCCAATTTTATTTCGATGACAACGTCATGCTTTGGGAAAACAGGATAGCAGGAAGAACGAGTAAGGAAGAAAGTTATAATCTAAGGATGGATACATTTTGGATTAGAGGATACACTTTACATTTTTTGGTAGAAAATAGGAGGTCACAAAGAGTAAGTTGATTTACAAAGTAGATAGGGTTAGGATTTAATACTCTTTATTTCCTGGTTTGGGGCAGCTGAATTTTTTTAAAAAAAATTGTTTCCAACTAAAATCTAAACCTATTTTAGGACTTTTTAAAAGGATATTTTGTAATATATATATATATATATATATTTGTTTTCTGAGGTTCTCGCGGGTATTTATATGTAGATCTTTGGTTGTTCGGGTTTTCTCCCGCGTAAGATTTGAAGTATCTAGGCAACGTTTCGATGAAGTCTCATTCATCATCTTCAGGCTTCTGTCTCCAGCTCTGTGCTTCTCAGAGTAATGGAGATTGCAGCTGCTTCCTCCTTTTAACTGCCAGTGGGGGTGGAACTTGATTGGGTGGGGGCTTGGCTGTGTTCTGATTGGGTGGGGGTGTGTTCTCATTGGTAGGGGGTTTGGCTGTGTTCTGATTGGTTGGGGGGTTAGCCGTGTTCTGATTGGTTGGAGGCGTGTTCTGTTCAGGAGGGGGCTTGGTTGTGCTCAGGTTAGTTTTAGTTGCTGGGGGATTTGAGCT